TATTAATTTTTAATTATTTTTATTTAAAAGTATCAACTTTAATATTTCAGTTAAAAAACTTTGGCAAGCTAACGTTGCTGCAATGAGTAGTATGAATTGAAGAGGACAAAAACGGCGTTTAAGGTTGCGTTTTGAGCGGAAAAATGAAAAACTGAAGTCCTTTTCTTGCATCTGGGCCTTTTGACTACAAATTAGGCCTATATGTTCTTTTGGCTTGGGCCTATTTGTTTCCGTTTTCTAATCTGAGTAGTGAGCAACACGAAATAGCATAAACCATTGTAAGCGGTTAGATCTCCCCCTCAGATTCATCAGGCCGAGCTTCTGTTGTACACCAAAAAAAAAAAAAAACACGGAAAGTAAAAACAAAAAGAGAAATCGTTTTGCCCATTTCGTGTCTTTAATCCAAAAAATCTATTGTTTAAGCTTCATTGTAGGAATGTTGGACGATATTATTATCATTAAAGATTTTATTAAGATTATTAATTTTAAATGTAATTTTATTAATTTATAATTTTTTAAAATAATTAATTATAATAACTAAAAATATTTACTTATAAATTAATTTTAATTTATTAAATAATTAATATTAATTACTTTAGTAATTATTAATTAATTTTAACAATTAAATTATAATAAGAATTTTACAATTTTAATGTTCTTAACAATTTTAGCATAATCATAACCATAGCGATAATCCATTGCCTTTGCTTCTCTACCTCCAAGATCTCTGCCTCAAGGGTCATGCTCAAGTCAAAATTGAATGTTCTTTCGCTTCTCACAATTTAGTTCCAAATACTTTAGAAGGTCTCAGATAGTCAGGCCTCTGGTTGAAGACGTTCTTCGGGTGTGAAGGGATGTTACAGAAAAGAGTTTGAGCCTTTGAGGTGCACAGACGGAGTTCGATGGAGGAAAGTGGCGAGCAATGGTGAAGGCGACAGTGTGGGGAAATAATTTGATGGGTTTTTGTCTTTGATTTGAATATCTGTAACATTAAAAGGAATGGATATATATATATGAATGATATTATAAGTAAATTTTTAAACACAAATTAATTATATAATAATATATTATATTATAAAATTAAAATATTATATGATATTATAATTATAATATTAGTATTTTTTAAGTTTATATTTATATATTGAAATGGAATTAATTTATATTAAAAATAATAAAAATTAATATTAATTTTACCACAAATGCATAATGAATCATTTTAATTAGTTAATAAATCAAAAAGCTTAATGTTTATTTTTCAATGTTAATTTATACAAAAGTGTACTCTTTTACTTCTGTCTTGATAAGTTAGAAAAGGTTAAAATTTTATTTTGATTATTTTATTGTAATAAATTTTTTTTAATCTTTTTACTTGAAGAAACTCATTTTTAATCTTTAAAATTTATTATCTAATTTTTTAATTACTATGTTATTTTTTTTACCCATATAATATATTAAATAATAAAAATTTTAAAATAAAAGAATTAAAAAGTGATTTTTTAAAAGTAAAATAGTAATGAAAAACTTTTTTAATTTTTTTAATTTTATTATTTTAAATTTTTCGTTATCTAACATTTTATTTGTAAAAAAAAACTAACATAATTTTTTAAAATAAAGAAATTAAAAAAAATTTGGTTAAATGAAAAGACCAAAATTAAATTTTAATTCAGTAGAAAAATCTTTATACAAATTCATGAGACACTTCTTTTTTTTAAAAAAAAAAAAGGGTTAATGTAAGAGAATAAAAAGGGGATCTAAGGAATTTAAACACACATCCACATAAGTGATCTCACCTTAACCAAGGGCTGGGCGGAGCGCGGGGAACAAATTCATGAGAAACTGAATTTGAAAGAGATGTCCATTGCCTATTGTCAAGAAAAGGAAAAGGAATGTGAAAGTAATAGACACGTGGTTGGTGGAAATGGTTCTGAAGAGATATTTTCGATACGAACGCAGTGGTGGATAGGGATGGGATGCCAACGGTCTCATGGGATCAAAGAATCCTTTTTGTCTTTATCCCCGTAAATGGTGAGGACAGGGTTTCTTATAGAGATTTTTAGTGGGAATAGATTTTGCCTTCATTCTTATTTATATAAAAAATAA